AAGTAAAAATAAGTTCATTTTTTACACAACTTTATGATTTCGTGCAATCGTTTAGCAAAAGTTTGACAAAAAACAAAGCAAATCGAGAAATACAAACAGAAATGTAAGGTCAATTTTGATTTTATTTACTCACTTTTGGGTCTTTCTTAGAAAAAAAATCTTCGATTTAAGAATGTGCTTAGAATTCCAAAGAAAAACATAGTTTTTGACATAATTTGTTGATTTTTCGCTTAGTATAAAAGTAATTTTTAGAAAACAGTATATTTTTGGTTAAAAAAAATTCAAAAAATTTGAAAAAAGCAAAAAACCAGATGTTTCTCAATTTAGTGGTTTCTCTTAACAAAATAAAATGTGATACTCAAAATACGTTTTAACTAATTTCAGATTATTGCCCATTCTTTTCTGAATTATGTACCACATTTTCCATAATTTTAATTCTTGAGACATACAAAATATTGTACTACAAAAAAAAAGATGGAGAGACTAAGAAAGTGTCAAATGTATTGGATTAAAAACTTCTAGACTTGCAAAAAAACATTTAAAAATTTATTAAAAAAATGCTTAAATTAAAAAAATATCGATCGAATCTTTTTTAAAATATCGTGTTGCAAAAGACAGTGAGGGAGACTATTAGAAACTATCAGATTTTGCTAAAATTTATAAATAAAAAACTGTCAAGATTTTTAGTTCAAAAATGGTGGATGCGCCGGGAAATAAATCGTTAAATCTTTGCTGAAAATATTTTGCAATAATTTAGCAAAAGTTTGTCCAAAAACAAAACAAATCGAGAAATACAAACAAAAATGTAAGGTCAATTTTGATTTCATTTAGTCACATTTGTGTCTTTCTTAGGAAAAAATTTTTGATTTAAAAATGTACTTAGGATTTCAAAAAAAACATAGTTTTTAAAACAGTTTGTTAATTTTTTGCTCAGTATGAAAGTAATTGTTAGAAAACAGTACATTTTTAGTTAAAAAACGTATTAAACATTTGAAGACAGCAAAAACCAAGATGAATTTCAATCAAATTTGATGGTTTGTTTTAACAAACCAAAAAAATTTGCTTATTCCCGAAAAATTTACTAATTCAGTGATTATTTGCTTTATTTTGCAAAAAATTGCGTTTCTGCTTAAAAAACATACTCAACACTAGAAAAAAAGTAAAAATAAGATCATTTTTAACCCAACTTTGTAATTTCTTGCAATGGTTTAGCAAAGTTTGACAAAAAACATAGCAAATCGAGAAATACAAACAAAAATATAAGGTCAATTTTGATTTTATTTAGTCACTTTTGGGTCTTTCTTAAGAAAAACACTTTTTGATTTAAGAATGTACTTAGGATTGCAAAAAGAACACAGTTTTTGACATAATTTCTTGATTTTTTCTTGGTTCTTTCTTTGAAATTCTTAAGATAATGCTTAGATTAAAAAAATATTAATCGAGACTATTAGAAGCTAGCAGATTTTGTCAAAATTTATAAATAAAAAACTGCCATCAAGATTTTTAGTTTAAAAATGCGCCGGGCAAATAAATCGTTAAATCCTCGCTCAAAATTCGTTTCCAAATCAACAATTGAGCTGAAAATTTATTGTTGTACTACATGATATTGCTTTTTGATCCTGGAGGTGATTATATTATTCATTTGAAGTGTCTGACTTGGTTGTAATTAATATTACTGTTCACAAATGCATTACTCAAATGACTCTACCTTGTCACATTTCATTTCAATGTGGTTTAATTAGGAATGCTTTTTACTTGCTCGCAATGCGTATAATATGTCAAGTTCTTCCTCATCGTCGACTACACCTGACGAGTAATTTGCTCACAATGTAAAGGATAATCGCGCTCATTTTGTGTTTTTTGTTGTGAGTTCATTAGTCAAAATTAATATTCCATTAAGAGTAAAATTTATCATCCTTATTTCATTGCTCGAGTCAGTGAAAACGAAATAAATTGCATCAGATGATCCACATGTAAATTCCTGAGCCTAAATTCAACTGAAAACTTTGTCTGGGTTTCAGTACGAAACTGTTTCAGCTACAAACGTTACATTTCCTTCAGTGCTCTCCCTTGTACACGTCACTCTTGGGAAATGTCGTGAAATCACGACTTTATTATGTGATTTAATAAATCGCATTTTATCAAAAGAGAAAATCACTGCACAGGAATTCCAACAAATGGTAATGAGAGAAAATAAATTATTGGAAATCTTTAGAATACTGGAAAAAGATTAATCATTCCTCGTTCAATATGAGTAAACCTAATTATGTTAGAAAATAAGTTTATTTTAAAAAAAGTTCGTCTCAGGTACCTGAGAACGAAAACTAGGGCAATGCAGTAGAAAGAAATGTGCGTGGTAAGCAAGATGCAAACGTCCTCAAGTTAAATTGTGCGTTGGAGATATTCAGTAATGGGAAATCTCTTTCATCGTTCTGGTCATAAACCATCGGGCTATCTGCACAAATGACATCAAACATTCTCTCTTCTACGTAATCATTTTACCTCGAAGGCAAAACTACTTTGAATATATAGAGTTTTGTGCATTTTTTCGTGTTTTTAGAAGTAAAGTTGAAACAATTTTTGATTTTTGTCGAGATTTTGTTCGATTTTTGGCACCCAGAACGGTCTATTGTCAATAAATCTAGACTTATTGGTGATAACCTTTTATGTTTGATACCATTGGAAAGAAACGTTTTAGTTTTTTTCTTATAAAAATTAATTTTTCAAAAACTATGAGCTCTAGGTCAAAACGGTTTGTACAGGCGTATTCTCCGGTTAATTTTACATATAGTACCAGTTTTTCATAAAAATTAAAAATGTTTTGGTCAAAATCGGATATTTTTAGCCTTATTCTTAACTTTATTACTCAATATCTCAAAAACTATGCATCGTAGAGTATTCTAACTAGTTGAATCGTTTCAGCGAGTAATTTTACGTCTAGAAAACCATATTTCAACCGTTTTTACGATTTTTAGTAAATTGACTATTTTTACGATTTTACTACCGCTCATCTTCAAAAACTCAAAAAATTCAAAATTTTTGAAACTTGACCCAATGGCGTTTTATGCACTTATTTGAGTCTTTAAGACATATAAAAATGTAAAAAACGTTAAATGGTATGAATTTTAAAGTTGAAATTTTTTTATTTTTGTTTAGATTTTGGTCGATTTTTGGTACCCGGAGCTGTCAATAACTCTGGACTTATTGGAGATAACTTTATATATTTGGTACCGTCGGAAAAAAAAATTTCCTATCGTATACAAAAAAGATCAGTGCTCTACGATAAATAGCTATCGAGAAAATTTCTGATAATTGTTTTAGAATAATTCTATTACTCAAGATTAATTTTAGACCAGTAGCGCAGGAAAAGACAGAGTTTAGGGGGTGTTTACCTATGTGAAAAAAATGCGCACTTATTTATAATTGTACATATACAGGGTGTTAAAAAATATTCTGTTACTTTGCGGACCTATGTTTATCAAGTTTTTTTTTGTTTGTTTTGGTCCGTACTACTACCTCCTGAAATATTTTTTTTAACACCCTGTATACATTTCATGCTACTTTTACTTTATATTACTTACCTTTTGATTACTTATATCTATTTCACTAATACAAATCATTTGTGTTATTAGTAATAATAACAATAATTATTAAAAAAAAAATTTTAATGCAAAACTTACCTTTCATTTATTTTACTTTTAACTTACCTTTTGTTTACTTATATTACTATTAACTTTTACACTATTTGTTTACAATACTTGTTTTAAAGTTCGCGCTCTTATACGCCCGCCATCTATTGGTGCTTATTTTAGTTAGTATTATGCGGTTTCTCTCTTATACTTATTAGAACATGTGCTCATGTATTAAAGATCGCGCTCTTATGCGCCTGCCCTCTTTTGACACTTATTTGAATTATATTTGAATTTGAATTTGAGAAAAATTGCCGAAATGACCGGGGCCGCTGAGCCACCACGGTCGCCGACAATTTTAATGTTTTCATTCAATATATTTTACACAATTTTTCAAAAATTGACGGACAATTTTGAAGTTTTTAATTTTTTCGATTTTTGTCAAAATTTTGGGCGATTTTCGGTACCCGGAGCAGTTTATTGTTAATAACTTCGGAATTATTGGCGATAAACTCTCTAGTTGGGTATCGTTGGAAAGAAAATTTAATTTTCTACCGAATACATGCTCTACGATGAATAGTTATCGAGAAAATTTGTGGTAAAAAATCAAAAATTTCAAAAATTTAAATACGTCTATAACTTAAAAACCATTACGAATTTTGCAGTTTTCTTGACGCCAATCGATTCCCCGGAACATTTTACATGTGTTTAGGTCAAAATATTGTATCATTGAGATACAGTTTTTTATGAATTTACAAAATAAAAAAAAAGTAAAAACTTGTAGCAAAAACCAAAAATAACGTCACATAAACTTTTGTTTTTCAACTTTTGATCTAATGCAACGCGAATTTACATTTCACAAAAAATATATAAAATGAAACCACCCAAACAAAACTCGTTTTAATAAAATTAAGGAAATATGCATATTTTCACTCAAAATAATAATTTGTCCAAAAATAATGTAATTGTCTGTAGACACAAAATCTCTCTTCACACTTAATTTAAAATGCGCTCCATCGTGGGGTATACACCCTATTTTATATTCTGATTGAATTATTTCACGTCTGTTGAGCCAGCGACCGCATTTTAAACTTACTCACTATGTAAATCATGCCGTACATGTTCGAATTAAATATAACTAACAAAAACGTCCAACCTGTTTGTATTTCGTTGGCAGGAAAAAGCTTCTCTAGCACAATTTGCAAAACAAAATTTTCAAACTCCGAATTAATTATTATTAATTAACGAGACGACTATCAATGTGAGACCGCAACAATTTGAGGTTTGCGTTATCAAAAAAACTTCCTGTTATGATTTTCTATTCTTATCAAACGGACTAGTTTGAATTTAGAACAAGTTTCAGTTGATTTAGTGAGGTGAAAAGTTGCAATGGCTGTTGATAGTGAAAAGCCCCAAAACCAAAAATTCAATAATAAAATCACAGTCGAAGAGGAATTTGAAAAAATTCAAATAAACGAAGTTGCGAATTCAAAGGAAAAACAAGGTATGTAATGCAATTTTTGAAACACAATCTGATCAATTAATGAACTGGCGTCATTTGCAATGTTTTTCGAAGTAAATTTAATTTCAAATTAAACACACGTTTAGATAAAACCACATCAGTGTTCAGCCCCAATGCATTTTAATTCTAATTACAACGTTATCTGGCTCGGGGCTTCAAACGCGTTATTTTATTATTTTATATTACTATGTAAATTATGGAAATTGTGATAAAAACTAATAGGTAGCGTACAAAATGTGCTTTGTAATATTATTATCTTTTGTGTGAGTGAGGTTAAAATAAATACAGGGTGTTCCGGGAAATCCCACATTAGAAGTTTTGGCTTTTCTTATACCTAGTTCGAATTATTTAGACTTTTTTAATTTTTTTTGAATTTGAATCTTTCTATGCAAAAACCGATAACTCTACGATTTTTTATTATGTTGAAACCGTGTTTGGGTATACGAGAGAGAACGGTTAGATCTTTCTTCTGGTTTATTCATAATTGGAAAAATAATTAACAAATCGCCAAAATATAAGGTTACGTTTAGGAAACTTCAAATACCCTTAACTCAATTTTTCTAAATGAAACACCCCAAATTTTTCTTCACTAAATGGAGGAGAATTTAGTTCTGCTTCGATCTGTATTAACATTCCCTATATCTATGTTTGATAGTTTTCAAGTTATAGTAACTTTTTTTGATATTGTGAGAAATTCATTAGCTACTTTAGTTTAGGTTGTCATTGAAATAAGAAAAAAATAGAATATCAAAGTTATTCAAATTTAGATTAAATAAATTTAATTTGTATTTACGAAAAGAATGACACAATTGTGAAAAAAAACTTGGCGTTTTTTCAGTGAGAAATATTTCCTTGGCAAACTATGCGAAAACTACCATGGATAGTAATGAATTTCTTCCATTGCAAAAAAAAGACAAAATAACTCGAAAATCATTAAATTTAGGTATAGGGAATGTTGATACAGATCGATGCAGAATTAAATTCTCTTTCATTTAATCAAGAAAAAAATGGGGCCTTCCATTTGAAAAAATTCAGTTACGGGTATTTAAAGTTTCCCAAACGTAATCTTAAATTTTGGAGGTTTGTTAATTATTTTTCCAATTATAAATACACGAATGAAAAGATCTAACCTTTCCTTTTTCTATACCAAAATACGATTTTAAAATAATTAAAAATGGTAGAGTTATCGATTTTTGGAGAGGAAGATGCACATTAAAAAAAAATCAAAAAACTAAATATTTCAAAAACAGTTAAATTTAGGTATAGAAAAGTCTGATAAAAACTCTCAAAATCACTTGAGTAATCCAAAAACTCAATAAAAATATAACTTCCTGTTTGAAATAACATGCTGCCACCTTAAAGATATTTTCATTCAAATTTTAGATAAAAATAAATCACTCCCAAAACTTCCAATGTGGGGTTTAGTCGTATCAGCCTGTATAAACTAATTTTGGCACTCACAAATAGTAAAAATTTCAGCCACATTTTGGTAATTTTTAAATAATAAAATGTAATTTAATAATTTTTATGTCAAAACCTGTTAATATTAAAAGCACTGAATTCGGAATGATAACAATAACGTTTTTTTCTACATATCCAAAGATGTTAAAAAACATTCTAAAATTCAATTAAAGAAAAAAAAACAATAAAAAAAGGAATAAGAAAGTATAAAAAAGTAAAAACCAAAAGTTTGTAATAAATAAAATTTTGGAGGTTTGTTAATTATTTTTCTAATTATAAATACGCGAAATAAAAGATGTAACCTTTCTTTGTCATATGCCCAAATACGATTTCAAAATAAATAAAAATGGCAGAATTATCGATTTTTGGAGAGGAAGATGCGAATTCAAAAAATTTCAAAAAAATTAAATATTTCAAAAACGGTTAAATTTAGGTATAAAGAGGTCCCTCAAAATCATTTAAGTAATCAAAAACGCAATAAAAAACATAACTTTTTATTTAAAATAACGAATTTGATACCCATTTCCGGTGTATTTCCGGAAATGCTGCCCTTTTGAAAATATTTTCATTGATCAAGATCTAAACGATTATGCCTATAATCAAAATTTTAGTATAATTGTATAATTTGTTCAAAAATAGTTAAACGAAAAAATTTTCAACAAAAATCTTTAATTTTGTGCCTGAAACATGTAGAATTAGTTCCATTTTTTCGATAAGCCTAAAATGATTCTGACTGAAAAAGACTAAAATTTATGTCAAAAATTGGGAATCTAATAAATTAAAATTAATAAATTGAAAAACATGTTGAACACTTTGATTTTTT